GGACCTCACGAAGCCCCCCCCACACACACACACAGCTGAATGCAAGTTCACGCAGCATCCACACCCTAGAGTCGTCGAAGGTGAGCAACAACGCACAGTTGTCTCCTCCCAGGGCCGCGGACACCATCTAGGTCTCAGCACACCTTCAGAAATGCTGGACGATGGAGCTGAACGCACCCAGGCCCCGAGCGCAGGGTCACAGCCGCAGTCCAGAGCCTCCTCTGGCCCACATTTCCCGCCCCTGCCTCCGCACACAGTGGGTGCTCAGGAAATGCCAGCTGGGTGGTGAATGGGTGAAATGAGACCCCCGTTTCCAGGGGCAGATTGCACTCCGGCGAGAGCCAGCGCCCTCTCCCGACGTGGGAAGGAGCTTTTCTCTCTCGGGCCGCCCCTCACTGCGGCGTCCGCCTGAAGCTCCTTCCCGGGGTGTTTTTCTCACATCGGCACCCGCGGGTCTGCGCCCGTCCCCCCGAGGGACCAGCGCAAACACCGACGGGCACGCGGCGGCCCACGGTCGCCCTCTCTCCCCCTTCCAGCCGTCACCGCCCTCGGTGCCGCGGAACCCCCGGGCCCTCCCGAGGCCGGCGCCGCGGGCTCCTGCGCGCTCCGACTGGGTGTGCTGGGCCGGACCGGGCCGCGCCGTCCCCGCCGCTCCTGAGCCCGCGGGGAGCGCCCGGAGGAGCCGCCCCGCCGTGGAGCCGCCCCGGGACCGTGCGCGCGGCTGCGAGGCTCGCGTCAGAGGGGGGTCCCGGCACCCCCAGCCGAGCGGACGCCGGCGGGCGCGGAGGGCGGCCCTGTCCCCAAAGGCGCGCGCAGGGGGGCGACCCCAGGGGAGGGCCCGAGGCCACCGCCCCGTGGTGCTCGGCAGGAGGCCTGACTTCGGGGCCCCACCTGCGCCCCCAGCCCCCAGGCGGGCGCCGGACACCCGCTCCCCAATTCCTGCCGTCGGGGAAGGGACGTACCGGCCGCCTCCGCCCCCGCCTCCCAGGCCCGGGGCCATTGGGTCGTGTCCCGCGTCCCCGCGTGGCTCGTGCTGGGGCGCGCCGACCCCCCTCGCCCCGGCCGCCGGGTCTCGGCGTCTCCCGCGAGCGCGGCCGCCCGGACCCGCCAGAGCCGCGCGCGAGGCGGAGCCGGGCGGGCGGGGGGCCCGTGGGCGCCCCCTGGCGGCCGCGCAGACGGCGCCTGCCGCCCCCGCGCCCACCCGCGAAGGGGGCGGATCTGGCGGCGGCGCCCGGCGCGCGGTTCCGGGAGGCCGGGGCGCGCGGGCGGGCCGGGCCGGTCGGGCGGGCTGTGCGCGGGGCGTCCGGCGCCGGGGGTTGTGGGCGCAGGTCAGTAGGGGCGCGGGCAGCGCTCGCGAGGGGGCTGGGGCTGCGCGCAGCGCGGGTCGACCAGCTCCCCGCGGGGGCCGCGCCTCCTCCCGCAGCCGCCGGGACCCCCCGCCCGGGACCCCCGCAGCCCACCCGAAGCCGGGGCGCCCAGCCCGCCCGGAGCCCCCGCGGCCCGCGGGCCCTGCCCGGAGCCGGCACCCTGCCCGGGCTGCATCTCCGCGGGCCCGACCGCCGCGCCCCGCCCCGGGGGAGGGAGCCCCGGGGTGCGCGGGACGAGGGTCCAGCCCGCTCCTGCCGCCGCCGCGCCCGGAGGCCGGAGGTGCCGCCGCTGCTCGCCCCAAGTCTCCGGCAGGAGCCGCGGGGTCGGGGGCCGCGAGCCCCGGGTGTCTGGAGCCGGAACCGGGCCGGGGGCCGAGTCGCGAACCCGGAGGCGCCGGCCGGGCCAGGGCGGCTGAGCCGGGCCGAGAACCTGGGGCGGGGGCGGCCGCGGGGGGCCGGGCGAGCCCCGCGAGGAGCGAGCTACGCGCCGAAGCCCGCGGAGGGGCCGAGGCCGCGAACCGGGGTGGGCGCCAGGGCTGAAGCCGGGCGCGCGGGGCCGGATCCCGGGATCCCGCAGCCGCAGGTCGCGCGTCTCCGGCGGGGTCGGGCCGGAGCCGCCCTCGGGAGGGTCGCGGGGGAGCCGGGCGGGCAACGCCCCCGGCGCGGAGAAGCCCCCCATGGCCGAAGCTGGACGGCCCCGCCGCGGGGTCCCGGCCCCCGCGCCGCCCCCCCCGCGGTCGACCAGCAGCCCCGGGGCGGGGAAAGGGGTCGCGCGGGGCGCCGGGGTCCGGGCGGCCGCTCCAGGGGCCCGCGGGGACCCGCGGCTCGGCCCCGCCCCTGGCGCTGAGGTTTTTCTGGCCCCAAATCTGCGCTCTCCGCCGCCAGCGTAGCGGTGGCGCCTCTTCCCGGGTGGAGCCCCGCGCGTTTCTGGCTGGCGCGTGCGTGTCCGGGGGCTCCGTGCTCTGCGCGCCAACGACAGCGCCCCAAGCCCCGCGCTGCGGGAACCAAGTCGTCTTCCTCCTGGGCAGCTGGGCCGAGCGCGCGCTGATGGAAGCGAGCCCGCGTCTGGGGAGACGGCCCTTGGCACGGCTGGGGCGGCCCGGCAAGGCCGTGGGGGCACTTGTGTCTGGGCGCAGTAGGGGTGCTGCTCGGAGGGCGCTGCTGGGGCAAGGCTCCGAGGCTTTTCTGGGGGTTCCCCCAAGGACCTGGAGCAGTTTGTTGTCCTGGTTGCAATCACCAGGTTCTCAAGGTGGCCCTGCGGGGGGCCTGGTGAGGGGGTGCGGGCCGCGAGTGGGGGTGGCGCCCTTGCTAAGGCTGGAATTAACCGGCAGGTTTTCTTGGAGCCTGGGCAGGAAATTGTCAGGAGCCCGAAGCTCGGTGGCCTCCACCAAATCTTTTCTAGAGAAGTGCCCTGGGGTGGGGCCTGCACCCGGGTCCTGCTCTAACAAAAGGCTGCATGGAGCCGGCTCCCCAGAGCCAGGGGCTGCCGCTGGGAAACCCCCACAGCTCATTCCCTGGAGGCTGCTCCCCGGGCTGTGAGGGGGAGCAGCAGGGCTGGGAGGAGGCAGGTGGGCCCGGGGCACCGTGGTGTGCTCTGTGGTGCTGCCTCGGGTGCCCAGGGCCCTTAACTCCCGCTGGTGGCCTTTGCCGTGAGCCCCCGTGGCACAGCCGCTCCCTCTCGTTTGCTGTATGGATGCCCCTGGCAGCAGCACCACGCCAGAGAAAGTTGCCGCGTGCCCTGTGACCCTCTGCAGGGGTCTGGCCTCAGGCCAAGCTGGGGTTGATCCAGTGCCCAGCACTTACGCACCTCGGTGCTGTGGCCCCCGGGCGGGCAGCCAGGGCGCACGAATGCCACGTGCTCTGACCCTGTGGTGCGGAGACAGCCTCGCGGAGTTGGGCCATCAAGGCCTCTGTGGTCGCCGCTGCCTGCTTGGGCACCTCCGGCCATGCTGTGAGCCCCCGGCCCCACCAAGCGCCTGTCCCCGGGCTTAAGCTGTGCTGGTGCTTTTGGGCTCCCCCTGGGATGCAGAGAAAGGGCCCCTTGTGTTCCTACAGCTCATGCCAGGTAGCCTGGGGTTGGTCTTCCTGGCTTTCAGGGCTTGGGGGGCACCCCTGGCTGTGGGTGGGGCTGGTGGATGCCCCCTTGTTCCCGTGGGAGTGTCCTGCAGCCATAGAGCTTTTTGTTGGAAAGAGCCAGTGCTTTGGACCACCCAGGCCCATGGGGCTGTTTGGGGGTCAGAGATGCTGTGGGTGTGTTATGGGAGACACCAGAGAAAAGAAGGGAGCCCCTTGTGTGCCAGCCCCAGCATGGAGGAGCCTGATGTGGGTCTGTAGGGGGTGCTGGTGGGGGCTCCAGGAGTGCCTAACCCTGGGCAGTGCCCAGGCTGCCTCTGCCTCATGGGGGCTACAACAGTGCATTTGGTTCCCCAGAGGCGCCAAGTGGGGGCCTGGGCTTGGTCCCTGCGCTGTGCCTGCAGGTGTCAGGCCTAGACCTGCTCTGAGTGGTGCCAGCAGTGCCCATCTCCCATGAGGGGTGCTTGCCCCTGGAGTTTTGGGTCCTGTGGGGCTGATTTTGGAGTGATGCCCCCAAGCTGGGACCCTATGGGGTGAGTGTGCCTGACTCGGGTGGGTGGTGCCCCATCATTGAGGTGCAGCCCCACAAGTGTGGGAGGCAGGGAGGGCGCCAGAACTGCTGAAGGGGTGGGTCTGAGATGATGGGCTTTGAATCTTCCCTCTACCTGTGGGGTCACCATGGCTGGTGGAAGAGTGGGGGCTGTTTAGTGAAGGGGATGAGAAAGCCCTGAACCCCCAGATAACTGTTCCCCTCTTTGATGCACCCAGGGTGGTCCTGTGTACAAGGGCTTAAGGGTGGCTTCTCCACTGGGGCTGCGGGGCTGCAGCTTAGAGAAGGGGAGTCTTGTCCTGGTCTCCAAGGGAGTTGGGGGGCCTGTGTTGTCCCAGAGCTCCTGGGGCTGGTTTCAGGCTTCCAGCCAGCTTTTGGCTGGGGGGGCCTTGCCGTGCTGGTGCTGCTGCAGCCTGCAGGAGACCAGTCTGGGCACTGAGGGATGAGGGCCCAGCTGGCCCACCTGCCCAGTGCTCAATGGTTCTGCCCCACGGTGCTGTGTGCCCCAGGGCTGTGCCACCTGTGGGGTCACCCTCTGAAAGGGTCTTGAGCTGCAGCCCCATCATGGTGAGGTGGGTGCTGGCCCAGGAGGAGAGCGGGCCCTTGAGTTGTGGTATGTCACGCCCTGGTCTTATTGCCAGGGCTGGGCTGTGAGGGGTGGTGGCTTTCCCCGCAGTGGGCCCCTGTGGGTGCTGCTGCCCCATTTGGGCCCTCAGAGCCGGTGCAGGCCCTCGGGTCTGCCATGGTGCTTTATCAAGTGCCTGTTTACTTGCTTTGGCGCCCGAAACACCACCCGTGGGGGCGGCAGGGCTGTGCCTCCGATGCCCCGGCTGTCCCCAAAGGGGCTGCCTTTGTGCCACAGTGCGGTGACTGCTGGTGGAGATGTGCCCACTGCAAGTGGGGAACAAGTGCCTGGGCAAGTGTGGTGGCGGTTCTGAGGGGCCCCCGGGGCTGCAGTGAGCATTTTGGGGGGAGCAGCATTTGGGGTGCGTGCTGGGGGGCTCTGGTGCCTGCAGACCCCCTCCCCCAGACCTGGTGCAGGCAGGGTGTTGTGCCCACCCCTGGAGGCCGGGAGGGGTGGCCATGTCAAGACAGTTTGAGCCATCTCTTTTCGGGAAGGGGCTGATCCGAGCACCAACTTGGGCGGGCCAAAGCTGGGGGGTCTGTACCATGGCCCGCCGGGAGGGTGCCCTGTCTTGGGTGGCCTGGCTGCGTGGGAGGCCCATTGTCCCCTGCTACAAGTCCGGGGTGGTGCAGCCTCCCGGCCAGGTGTGTACTGGAATGTCCTTGCGCCCCTTTCCTGGAGTGCGAGGTCCCCTCCGGGGTTCAGGCGCCCTGGTGGGTTCATGGTGGAACCGACGTGGGGTCCTGAGCTCCTCAGCTCCTCCTCCTCACTGGGTTGCCGGTGGGGAGGAGGGGCCGCAGCTGCTGGGCCCTGCTGAGGTCGACCAGTTGGCCGGCCCGGGGTGTTCAGCCAGGTCGACCAGATGGCCCGTTCCTGCCGCCACCAGGTGGCGCTGCAGGGTGGATGGGACGGATGGGTGGGATGGGCTGGACGGGACGGGACGGACAGGATGGGCTGGACGGGACAGGATGGGTGGGACGGGCTGGACGGGACAGGACGGACAGGATTGACCGGACAGACAGGATGGGCTGGACAGGACGGACGGGACAGGCTGGACGGGCTGGACGGGACGGACGGGATGGACAGGACGGGCAGGATGGGTGGGGTGGGATGTGCAAGGCAGGACAGACGGGAGACGGGACGGGCGGGCGGGATGGGACGGACGGGACAGGCGGGATGGGTGGGGTGGGATGTGTAAGCCAGGACAGACGGGACGGATGGGATGTGCAGGTCGGGACAGGCTGGACAGGACGGGCAGGGAAGTTCGGGTCAGGACTGGACGGGCTGGGCTGGATGGGGCGGGGGAGGATCGGGTCGGGATGGGGCAAGTTTGGGGGGACGGGGATACGACGCCCCCAGATTTGCATCCTTTCCCTTTAGATGCCTCTTGGGGTGCATTCCTCAGGGGCGCGAGGGGGAGAACCCCCCCATATCAAACCTGCATGTCCTCATTGCTCTTGCATATCAGGAAAAGTCCTTCGAATCCATTCAAGTGACACGAAGGGGACTCCTTTCACCATGTGCTTGGGGTTTCTGGCATGAACCCCATGTTCTCGGCAGAGCAACGCTCTATGTCACCTCCAGTCACAGCTGCTGCGCCCGGAGAGCAAGAATTAGGAAAATAGACTCGTCCTGGCAGGTTTCCCCGTAACCTTCACAGGCCTGGCACGGGCGGGCCAACATAAGACGCACGCAGGGTCAGAGCCGAGTTTGGGATTCGACACATGGAAAATCAGCCTCAAATGTCCACGAGACACACACACACACACACACACACACACACACACACCCGGTCGTGATCCAGGCAGGCCGCAGCCCAGGGCCGGAAAGCTCAGGAAAGCGGCGGAGACGCCACGTTCCCAACAGAGCCGGACATCAAGAAAATGACTTTTTGAGTCAGTCCAGCCCCTAAACACGGGGCGTCCAACTCCAGGACGCTGCCGAGGCTGGTTCCACCACGGGATCATGTGCCGTCAGAGAACACAAAGGCGTCACCTCCACAGTGACACGAGGAGTAGAAACACATTTTCTTCAAACCCAAGACCTAATGAAGGGAAACATCTCAAAGCTGGAGGGAAATGGATGGACCCATCCTGGTGCTTTCTTTGGAGAAGCGAGAGGAAACGGGTCCGACGCTCACAAATGGACCAGAAAGGGAAGGGGACATGCGGACACGAAGGGGAGGATGTTCTAGCCCCAAAACCCATCCTCGGGAGGAATAAAAAACTACCACAGATGCCTGAGCCAAGAGTCGGCCGCCCTCGCCCCAGGACGTGGTCCCTCCACGGCGGCCTCTTCCCAAACGTCAAGGAACCGACCCCTTACAAGCAGGTGAAAGGGAGCGAGTCCTCAGCCGGGACCCCGAACTCCACACACACGAGACTCCTCCGGAAACAAGATGGGGTCCTACGCCCCAAGGACACAGGTCAGGAAGTGACTTTCACTGTGCACCCCCCGAGCTCCCTCCGTCCACCTTCTGCGAGGTCGGGCTGCACCTCCGGCTGGGGGGCACCGGTGACTCCCCGCCCCCCTCCCGGTGGACAGAAAACAGTTGCATCGAGGATGACTGCGTGCAGGGACACAGGGGCAAGGCCTCCCCAAAAGGTTAAACTCAACAAATGTCCCGACGGGTGCTGGGAGGGCACTTGGCCTCAGTGGCCTGTCCTGCTGCTGGCCCGGCCCCTTCCTTGCGGACGTGCAGAACCCTCGACGGCGGCGGCGCCGTGGTCAGAGGACAAGCGCCAGGGGCCTCCCGGTCACCACCAGGAACAGGGGGAGCACACACACCACCAGGACGACGGCCGTCTGCCGGGGCGCTCTGGGGCACTCCAGGAAGCCCCGAGACAGAAGAGGGGGTGACAACGGCGGTTCCCCCCCTTGCAGGACGAGGGTTAGGCCCAGGGATGGCTCGGCCAGGCACGTGCCAAGCTGTTGCGATGCCAGCAGGACCCGACCTGGTGACAGATAAATACACGAGCCGCGTCCAGGGGGCCCGGCAGAGGGCGCGGCCACACGGTCCTGCCACACCCACGCTGCCTGGGGGGCCGAGGGCCACCCCATCGCCCGCGGAGGGAAGGGGAGCTCTCCCTGAGAGGCGGCTCCGCGTGTTCCCCACAGCAAGGCTCGCGGGGCGAGAGGCCGGTCTGACCCAGGTTTCTCCACCCAACCCTCCTCTCCTGAGCCCCGACTGGCGCCCGTCCCCCCGGGGAGGGCGTGGGCCTCTTGCGTTGACTTAGCCCTGGTAGCCCAAAATCCCTGCACCCCACCCCAAAAGCTCCCCGCAACGTCCCCTCGTCTCTGCTTCGGGCCCTTCCGGGCTGCGCGCCACCTGTCGCCGCCCCCCACACACCCCCCGAGGCGGCCCAGCGCCCCCACTCTCAACGCCGTGTTCTGCTCCCGCCCGAGGCCTCTCCCCGTCACCGTCACAGGAAACTCGCCTGAGCTCCGCGGCCTGACAGCGCCTGTCCCGGGGACTCAGCGGGGAGCCGCGAGCGGAGGGGCTCGGCTCCCCGTGGGGAGAGAGGGGTCCGCTTTCCCGCCACTGGCCTCGCGGCCACCCCTCGCATGTGTGGGCGCGGGCGCGGCTGGTGGTGTCGCCCCGGGTGTGGGGGGCGGCCGGGTGGGCGCCTGGGCCCGTGGGCGGGGACACTGGGCGGCCACGAGTGGCCACGAGAGGGCGGGGTGCAGACCGCGGGGAGCCCCTGCCGGCCTCTGTCCCTGCCTGAACCCACGAAGAACCCACCCGCCTGGGACGGCCGCAGATCCCCCATTTCTTGGAAGGAGGCCGCGGGGGGGTGGCTGCGCCTTGGGAGGGGCCGGGGGCCGGAGCGGGGACCCACTTCAAGGCCGGCACAGGCCCTGGCGCGCCCCGCTGTGCGGGGTGGGGTGCCCCGGGGCCGCTCGCCCGCAGTCCCTCTCCCTCCACCTCGTCCAGCCCTCGCGCCTCCCCGCCAGCCGCCCCGGCCCCCTCCGTGCCCCCCACACGCACAGGAGGCAGCGAGGGGCCGTGGACGCGGCGGCCAGGACAACCCTCGTCGACGGCCCCCGGGGCCCCGGCAGCAAAGGCCGCGGCTGCAGCGCCAGAGACACCCGCCCCCGGCAGCCCCCGCCCCCGCCCCCTCCAGCCCGCGGCGCCCGCACTTCTGCCTGCGCCCCCCACCCCGCGCCTGCCCTGGTCGCTCCGGGGGGCCCCAGAACAAGCCCACGGCCCGGAGCTGCCCCTGGAGTCATCTCTGCCCGCACCCCGGGCCGGCCTCTCCCCGCCCCCAAGTCCCTTTCTGACTTGACCCCCCAGAGCCGGGTCCAGCAAAGGCCCGGGACGCCTGCGCGGGGCGAGCGCCCCGGCCTCCGGGGCAGGGGGGACCCGCGCCTGCGGGCAGCCCGTCCCGCCTCACGCCCAGGGCTCGTGCCCCCAAGACAGTCTTGAGGACGTGCTCGGCGGCGCCTCCCCACAGTCAGCAGGGGTGCACGGAGAGTGGGGGGCGGGCGGGGGCGGGTGAGAGCCCGTGACCAGGGGGCAGCTGACGAAGGAAAACTGGATCCACACGGGGGGGGGCGCGGGGAGCACAAGGTTGGGGTGCGGGGGCGGGGAGGGCGGTGGCGATGGGCGAGGGAAGGCGGGTGCAGAGAGGAGGGGCTGGGGGTGGGGGCTGCTGTGCGGGGCCCTCGGGCGTGGGGGCTGCGGGAGCGCAGAGGCCGCTGCGTCCGCCACGGGCGACCGGAGCCGGCGCCTGACCCGCGGGGCCTCCTGGGCCAGCCCTGGGCAGACGGGGCGGGGTTCCCAGGGCGGGGCGTCCGCGGAGGGGAGGGCGCCCCCTTACCTGGGGGTCGTGGGGCCGGGCCTGGCGTCTTCCTCCGCGGAGCTCCGGGCCTGGGGAACGCGGCGTCCAGAGCAGGCAGGTCTGGGGGCGCAGAGAGTGGCCGTGAGGGACCAGGCGGCTGGCGGCGCTCGGCCTCGCCCTCCCCTGCTGCCCCCCGAAAGTTTCAGGCTGGGAGGAGTGGGGGGCCTGGGTGTCCTCGTGCCTGCCCCTCACCTCCGGGGACGGCCCCTCCAGGCCGCGCCGCGCCGCGCCCCCAGCCCACCCGACCAGCAGAAGGAGGCCTCGGGGGCCTCCCGGCTCCCGGAGACGCCCCCAGCCCGAGCCTGTGACCCCGCAGGCCTGCGCGGGACGGGGTCGGGCCGCGGGGACACCCCACGCTCACCCCGCCTGAGATGGACGCCGCCGCCCCCGCGGCTGACGGGCCCGCGCGGCGCAAACGGCGCTGCCCTCGGGGAGGGGGCGCCCCGCGAGCGGCCTCGGCCCGCAGGTCCGTCCGCGGATGGGGGGCCCCCCGCTTCTCGGGTCCACTTACCCGCCTCCCCCCCCCACCCCGGAGCCCGCGCTCCGCCACCCCCGACCGCCAGGGGGCAGCAGCGTCCCGCAGAGACGCGGACACAACCCCCGTCCGCAGAACCCCCAAAACTCCCCAGACGTCGCCCCGGTTCCGGGGAGGCTGTAATGGCGCCGCGGGGCGGCCCGGCCAGAGTCTGAAACAGGGGAGCCCGTTCCTCCCTCAGACGCCCCGGGGTTCCCGGCGCAAACCAGACCTCGGGCGGCCGCAGACCCCGCCCCTCCGCGCCCCCCCCGCCCCCGCGCCCCGCCCCGGGCCGCCGGCCCCGCCCGCGAGGCAGCAGCGTGCGCAGCCCCGTGGGCCCGGCAGGCCCGGCCGCGTCGCGGGCGCGGGGGGCCCGGGGGGGCGGGGTCCGGGGGGCGCTGCTGGCTGGAGCCGTGGGTGAGCGCGGCCCGGAACTGCCAGGGGTGCCGGGAACCCCGCCGTGCGCCCCGCGGCACGAGGGCCGGGGGCTGGCCCCCCATGGCCGGCAGACACGGGAGCGGGGCGCTGCTCGAAGCCACCGGCTGTGGGGTGACTCCCTCCACAGCGGGGCTGCCCGACTCGGCCCGCACCACGTTCGCGCCCTGGGCCGTGGGGGACCCGCCCTCCTCGCGCCCCGCGGCCTCCTCACCTGTCTCCTCGCCTGCGTCGCCCGGGCCGCCGCCTCCACGGCCCCTGGTCCCGGCCGGGGCGCCCAGCTGCTCCCGGGCCCTGCCGTCGCGGGGCGGCGGCGTCCGGGCGCGCTCGGGCTCCAGCAGCGCCGCGGGGCGGGCCGCGGCTCTGCACGGCGGGCGGGCGCCCGAGCCGGCACCCCGGCCCCGGGGCGGGCCCCGAACCTGAGGACCGAGCGACATTTAGTCTTTCGGCAAACGCTCGCCGGGCCCCCGCGGCCGCACCTCCAGGGGCCAGAGACGCGGCCCTGCTCTCCTGGGGTCCCCTCCGGGGGCGCCCACAGACGCCAGGGGTGTCAGGCGCTCGGGGCTCCTCAGGCAGGGAGGGGGCCCTGGGGGGCGGGGGGCGGGGCGCGCGCAGGGCCACGCGGGCAGGTGCCAGGAACCCGCCGTGGGAAGCGTCTCCAGGCGGCGCCCGTCGAGGGACGCGGGTCCCGCGGGCGGAGGCGGACACGGCCTCGCGGACCCGAGAAACAGCCGCTTTTGCTGGCAACGGCTGTTGGGGCCCGTCGGTTCCGTGGACGAAACGGCCGAGAGCGGCGTGGAACAGTCTGGGGGCCCCCCAGCAGACAGCCCGGGGCGCCCCAGATTCCGCGGCGTTTCCTGTCGCCGGCCCGTCCGCCCCTGACGCGGCTCCTCCCCGGGCTGACTCGGGCGGGGGCCGCGGGGGGCCGCGGTAGCAGCGCCCCCGTCCCGCTGCCGGACGGTGCCGCGAGGGGGAGCCCGACCCCAGACCCGCCCGGGGTCTCAGCCGCGCCCGCCCGGGCTGTTGGCGCAGCCGGACGCCCCTCCCCCCGACGCAGGGGCCCCCCGCAGCTCGAGGCTAAGCGCGGGCGCCGCGGGGCGTCGCCGTCTGGGTGAAAGGGAAAAGCCTGAGCCGGGGCGACGGGACGGGCGCGGGCAGGGGGCGCTCAGCGGCTGGAGGGGCGGTGCCCATGCGAAGGGGGGGCTCGGCCTCCCCCGGCCTGGGGGCGTCTCAGGGGGGCCCCTGCGGGGCCACGACTCGGCCTCCGCTGACCGGACCCGCGCCCGCCAGGAGAAATGGCCGCACGTCGGGGGCCGGCCCCGCAGCTCCGCCCCCGTGTGGCCGCGGCTTGTTCCGCCGCGTGGGCCGAGCGTGGGGCTCGGGGAGTCCCCAAAGGGGCTCGTGGCACATCCCCAGAGGGCGGGGAAGGGCGGGCCTGGAGGGGGGTCGGCGCCGGGGCGGGGCGGGGCGGGGCGGGGCGGGTGGGGCCCCGCCCACAGACGGCTTCGCGCTCCGCACCCCGACCCCACGGTCAGGGAAGGCCCCGCCCCGGCGCCGGCTCTGCAACCCCGTCTGGGACCCCGAGCTCCAGGCGCGCGCTCGGCGCACACGCCGCGGGCAGGGACAGCAAAGACCCGACGCGGGCCGGGGGCGCCCGCAGCCCGCATGCACGCCCCCGGGGCGCTGCCACCACAGCCCGCGCCCCCGCCCCCGTCCGCGGAGCGGGCGCCCTCGGGGCGGAGCGGGCGCGGGGACGGCGGGGCCTTCCGGTCCGCGGCTCCGTTTGGGGGTGCGGTCCCCCAAACCGGCGCGCGGGTGCTGGGGCCACACTGGGGCGCGGCGCCCACCCGAGGGGCGCGCCGGCGAGCGCCAGGATCGCGCGTGGTCGCGCAGGGGCCGGACGTCGTCGACACCCGCCCGCCCGGGGCGGCTCTGGGGGGGCCGCAGCTGGGGGGCAGGAGCAGGGGTGCGGCAGGCGGCCCGCAAGGGGGCGCCGACCGCCGGGTCAGGGGCCGGCTTCGCCCATTGTTACTACCGCGCCCTCCCCGGGCCTCAGTTTCCCGTCCTGATGGGGGAGCCACGGCGCCCACCGCGCCCGCGCCGGGAGAGCGAGAGCCGCGGAGCCGGGTCCTGCGCGCGCCGTCACCGCCCTTCGCTTCTCCCGGCGCCGCCAGAGTCCCACAAGCCACCCACGGCGGGGAGCCCCCCTTTCCTTGTGGCTGGTGAAGTGGAGCGGCTCCTCCCGCGTCCCCGCCCCTACCGCCTCCCCGCGCCCAGGGGCTCCGCGGGGCCTCCGGGCTGCCGGCCCCGCCAGGGCTCGGGTCTGGGGCCTTGGCCGAGGCCAAGCGCTGATCTCTTGGGCTCCCCCCGCAGCCCCAGGTGCCCCCGTTCCCGTGCCGCCGCCTACGTCCCAGCCTTGTGTTTAGGGGCTCGGCCCTTCCGGACTTATTTCAGTGGTTTGAGGCGAGGATGGAACTTTTTTCTGCAAATGGATAAACACTTGAGCCGTCCCAGTGACCCAGACAAGCAGCACAACTGGCCCACCGGCAGGGTCCAGCGCACGCCCCCGCGGGCATCTCGGGGAGCCCCAACAGCCCAAGGGCAGATGCCGCGGAAGGAGAAGGGATCGAGGCCTAAAGGGCTTCCCTGTCCTGCTGGGGGGACACGGGCCAGGAAAGTGGGAGCCCGAGACCAGAGCTTAGGGGTGCGCCCATCGTACTGTCGGACCCAAACCCCTTTGTTGAGAGGCGTCTCCATACCTGGACCTGCCGGTTTGGGGCGGTGTGCAGCCAGGAGGAGCCTCCAGGAATGTTGCGTCCGGAATGTTCTAGAAGGAGAAGACCCGTTAGGAGGCTGCTGCAACAAGCCAGGTGGGAGAGGACACGTCTGCAGCGAGGAGGTGGCGAGGATGGAGCTCAGGGGACACATTCGGACTCGCCTCGGAGACGGAGCTGAGGATGCCCTCCCGGAGGAGATGGCAGTGGGGAGGGGAGGGCAGGGGCTGTGGGACGCGTTTGCACTTCTGAGTCCCAGCATCTGTGTGTCCTGCAGGGCCCTGTGTGGGGTGCAGATACATTTTTTAAAGATTTATTTATGCATCCAAGAGCTGGGGTGCAGGCCAGAGGTGTGGGGGTGAGAGGATTCACCAGAGACAAAGCAACAGAACAGGCAGATCTACCGAAATCCACCGCTGAGGGGAGCAGCGGGGAGACAGGAGGGGTCTGCTGCGCCCTGCGGGGAGCTCCCTGGCAGGGGATGGAACTCGTGCTGCAGCGGCTGCGGCCGCTTCATGGTGCTGAGACTTAGCCACTTGCACCACCAGGGAGGCCCTGGAGATATTTTGCGCTGGGAGAAAATCCAGACTCCCTTTGGGGCGTGTTAAACATTTGATGCCCCCCTCTCTCGAAGCTACCAGGCGAGCCTGGTCTACGCAGAGGTAAGTGTTCGGGGTCTTTGGGGGTGGGGGGGGCGGGTGAGCTTAGAAATCTGCCCAGAGGAGCACATGCCTTGAGGCAAGGGCTGCGCTCTGGGAACTGTCCGCGGTGCTGACCCCACGAGGCGCTGTCCGCGCCTCTGTGGTGCTGAATCCCGGGAGCGGCCTTTGCCCAGAACAGGAACTATTCGTGATCCTGAACCCCGGGAAACTGCGCGTGGTCCTGCGCCGTAGGGCGCTGTCCACGCGCCCTGGTGCTGGACATCGGGAACTGGACTTCTCGCGGAGCCGGAACTGTCCGAGGTGCTGAACCATGTGCGGACCCGCGTCCCGGTGCGGCATAGCGGGCGCTGTCCGTGGTCCCGAACAGGCACTATCCTGTTCCGTGGTCCTGAGCCCATGATGCCCCCGCAAAACGGGGTCTGTCCGCGGTGACGAACATCAGGCCGAGTTGCTGGCCGGCATGAACTGCTTATGCTGTCTTTGTACTTTCTCAAAGAACACCTCCCTCAGAAAAACCCGCTGTTGCCTGGAAACAAAGCTCACTAGGATGCGCAGAGCGTGAGATGAAAGCAAATGAGACCAAAACTGCATGTTTTGGCTTTGAGGCCAGGAAGGCCTGGCTACTGCCTGACTGAGACGTAACACAGCCTCCAGGACACCTTTGAGGGGGGCGAGGGACAGAAGGAAGGAGGGAGCTGTGTGCAGGCTTCAGGCTGCTGGTTCTCGGGCTGGGGGAAGCAGGGGTGATGCGGGGTGACATAGAGGTATAGGTGGGATGGCAGGGGATGTAATTGTCAGGCCCTGGCTTTTATGTTGTGAGGTGGGGTAACAAGAAGGATATTACAGAAATGCCCACAAATAGAGAATGGCTGTGTTATGCACTCATTGGAATTATAAACACTTGAAAAAGTGATCCTGTTTTTAAATAAAAGAACAAAGTAAGAATGAACATCAGAGCAAACGCTTGGAGTCTGGGGTGCTCGGTTCGGCTGGGGCCACAGGGACTCCCACATGGGGGACTCAGTGCCCGGGTGCCCACCCCACGGCCTGGAAGCAAGTCCTGCTCCGAGGGGAGACAAATGTTCCCCTGAACCACCAGCCCCGGGCCCCTGGGCCGCCCGGTGCGCATACAAACCCCAGGCCGCCTGCGAGGCATCGCTGGGAGGAGCGGGAGGAGCGGGAGGAACCGGAGGAGCAGGAGCAGCGCCGCCTCCACCGCGCCCTGAAGTCCCGGGAAAAGAAACCGGCGCGGGTGCGTGTGTGTGCACGTGTGTGCGTGAGTGTGTGCACACGCGTGACCCAGCGCGCACACCCCTGCGCCTCAGGAGCGGGCGGGCACCCCGGGGGCCCTGCGGGGGCGGCCGCTCTCTCGGTCGCATGTCCCCGGGCAGGGGCTGCCCCGCGACAGTGTGTGCGTCGTCCCCAGCTGGGGCCTCTGCCGGGGGCCCCGCGCCCCCGCATCTGCTGCCCCACCAACACGGGCGGCGCCCTGGCCGCGCGGGCCAGGGCCGCTCGGCCTCCCCGGCAGGAGCACAGACCCGCGCCGCCGCAGCCGGGGTGACCTGACGTCATCCCAAGAGGGTCAGGCTGTGACGTCACTTTAACAGGAGGAGGGCCGAGGAGGCAGAGACTTGACCGGTGACCCCTGACTGCTCTCGGTGGTTACTTCGTTCCATGGTTCCTGAGATCCTTTGCGGATCTCAGGCCCCCCAAACTGCCTCCCCCGGACTTCCCGTCTGCCTCGCGCTAAGCTGGGGGTTCTGGGGCCCAGACGCCTGGGCGGAGCGTCCGCGGATTCACGTCCAGAGTCTCAGCCTGTTTCCCCGCCTGAAACATGGGGCTGGTCAGGTCACTGTCCTTCCTAGCAGTGGCCGCGAGCCCCTAAACGAGGCGGCCCCACAAAGTGCCCGGAACCGCAATTTGCACAAGGGGCTCTGACGCCCTCCGAGCAGGCCCACGGGAGGGGACAGACGGCCGTCTCCCCCAGCCTGCCCCCACGCCGACCCGTCCCCCCCGGCCACTCCCGCCAGGGCCTACACAGCTTGGGGGAGGGCACCCCGAGCCCCCGCGCCACACTCCGGGAGCACCCAAGCGGGACTCGGTGCACCGAGGCAGAGGCGCAGGGGACACCGTGGGCGGAAAAGGCCGCGGACACGGTCAGGGCGCCAGAGACGCCGCGGCGGGCACCGGAGCCAGTCCACGGGCGCACACGCGCACCCACGCCCTCGTGCGCACACGCGCGCACTCACATGCGCACCCACCCGCGCGCGAAGCAAGGACACGCGGCCACTCAGTCACAACGCGACGGCCAAGCTTCCGCCCGCGCGGGGTGACCGCACCCCCCCAGCCGTCAGTGGCCCCTCTGCACCCCCCAGCCCGGCCCCCCGCCGGAGCTCAGCAGACGCCCCTTAGGTGCGGCGCGCCGGCCCCCCGTCGGGCTTGCACGCCCTGTGCCCGCACACGCTCCGGCCCGCGCGCCCCCGCCCACCCCACGCCTCCCCGGCCGCACGGGGGCGTCGGCCCGCCCTGCCCCTCCTCCCCGCCCGCGACTCACCGCGCGGCTCCGCCGGGACAGTGACCGGTCGCCAGCCCGCCGCTGCAGTGCGCCTGCGCGCCGCCGCCGCCGGACTACACTTCCCAGAAGCCCGCGCGCCCGCCTCGCCCGAGCCCCGCGGCTTCGAGCCGACCACGCCCCCAGCTCCCAGAGGCCTCCGCGGCTCCGCGCCCCAGAGGGCGGCCTGGGGAGGGGCCGGGTCGGCGGGGGCGGGGGCGGGGGCGGGGGCGGGCGGCCGGGAGGAGGGGCGCAGGGAGGGGAGGCGGCAGACGCGCCCGCGGGCGTCCAGGGCGTGTCCCCCGGGCCGGCGTCCCGCGCGCGGACACCCTGCGCGGCCGGGGCGGGAAACCCCGCGTGTGCGGCCTCCCCGGCCCGGCCCGGCCCGCGGGGGTGACCCGCAGGCGCCCCCCCAGGGCACGGGCGACACCGGGGGCGCGAGGGGGCGCCGTCCCCCCAGCTGTCTGGGCCGCCAGGGGCGTCTTGAAGAGACGGCCCCGTGTGCGCGCGCCGGGCCCCAGCCCGAGTCTCTCTGCAGCCCCCCAAGGCCCGGGCCGCCGCCCCGCGGGCCGCCAGCTGGGGCCGGGGCGCGCGGGCGCGGGCGGGGCGCGGACGGGCGTCCGGGCGACGAGGCGGCCCCCGGTGTCTGGAGAGGAGAATCGCGCTTCCCGCCTCAGAAGCGCAAACCGAGGGCCTGGCGGGGCCCGCTGGGAACGCGGACGGCGGCGGACACAGCGGACTCCTCGCTCGAGTCTGAAGCTTCACCCCATTCTGCGACAGCCAGGGGGGCAGCCCGAGGGCGAGGCTCGCTGCCTGAGAACGCGCCCACCCCGCTCCCCTCGCACGCCGCACAGCAGCGCGCCGGTCCCCAAGATCTGACACGACTTACCACAGGGGGTTGGAGCTTTGGGGTGCGAGTGCACAACTTTGAACGCTCTCAGACATCCCCTTTCCAGTAGTTACGATGCTGGCGGGGGGTTTCTTACTCCATTTCTACTCCTCCAGAAGTCTCACCACACCCCACTTCACCTCGGAGAGCCCCTCAACACTGATGCCCAGGGCCTGCTCAGTCCCTCTTTCGCGGTCAAAGACGTCCAGTTCAGACAATAAATTACATGGCCTGTGTTAGCTCAGGCTGCCATGACTGAGGCCCCTGCTGGGCAGCTCCGGCAACAGTTTAGGTCCTCGGGTTCTGGGGTGACAGGTCCGCGGTGCCCACAGAGCGGGGGTCTGGGGCGCCCTCGCCGTACTGTGTCCTCACACCGCCTTCCCCCGCGAGCCTTAACCAGTGGCTTCAGTGTAAAATTCTTTCAACAGCCGCACATATTTTTCCGTGAACAATTCTGGCCCCAATGCTCGAATTTCCAGCTCTGAGTTCTAACTCCCAGAGCGGTGAGAGCCTCACACACACCCTGGACCTGGCGTTCCCTCCCTCCGCCCGCGGTCATCCGGGCCCTGGAGCGCTGGTCACCTCCCAGCAATGCCCCTGGGCGTTTGCCCAGTCACGTCGTCGTACATTCAGAAAATGAAGAGGCGTCTCACTTGCCCTTTCTCGCCTAAACTCAATCTCTTATACCTCAAAAATGTCAAAGATTCTATTTCCTACCAAATTCGGCATTGGCTACATTTCCTTAATTGCAAGTAAAATGAGCAACAGAAGCCAAAAATGCAGCCTTGGAAGGGTAGTGGCAGTTTGAAGAATTACCTTAGGACATTAAAAAACTGGGTGACTCCAAATACGGCAACCAAAAGCCCATCACGCCTTCTGGGAGCTGCTGAGGACAGCCCCGAGGGCCTTTCAAACCCCAAGAGCATTAGGCTGTATAGTGCCGACAGAACCCCATGGGCTAGAGTAAGTACGGCCAGTTGTCAAAGCAGAAATGATGTAGCCAAAACCCGGAAAAGCAGGCAGAGGAAAATAATAGGCTATTTTAGGCTTTATTTTCGGTATTACAATGACTGACTTTATCCTAGAATACAGGTCTGACAACATTCTCCTTTAGCTACACAGAGTTCTTTGTCCCACAGCTGCACAGAACTTTCCTGAATGAACACACCATCCTTAACTTCCCCACAGACCCATTACCCTAATAGTTTCTGTTTAAAAAAAATTTTTTTTTTTGTGGCCATATACACTCACCCACCTTTGCACACTCTGGGCTCTCAGGGATACTAATTTCAGTGGTGGACGCACACAGCAGTTTCTATGACGGGCAATGGAACGGTCATTTTCTACACACTGGATAGCACCAAAATTGGATCGGATCACTCCTCTATGATCTAAAAATTAATCTACTGGTAAAAGTAGACACATCATTTCCAAATCTAGCTTTTCCTGGATTACTAGTGCTACTGGGTAGTTCTAACTGCTTTGTTTCCTCTTCTTCGAGTTGGTCATCAGCTTTGCCCATTCGCAGTGCGCTGCAGGTGTCACCGACTGGTAATAGTGCTAGAATTATGAGGGGTTGTGGCTCTTTGTTACATTCGTTGCAAATTTTCTTTCAGTGTCTCACTTGCCTATAAATGTCAATGAGTCTAAAGTCTACTCCTGGGTGATGCGTACCTTACACCAACAGGACGGAAATAGGTTTTCTTTCATCTTTTAATATTTTAGATATAGACCTCCATTGTTTCACAGTGTGCAAGGTGTAGGTCTCGGTCTTTCCGGAGAGTTGTGTCCCAATGGCATTTGAGCAACCCACGCTGCAATGTAAAATGCTTTCTATCACACATAAGAGGAGCCCCAAAGGCTCCACATGCTCTGCAAAGATCTCCTATTCCCTAGTTTCTAGGCCTCTGTCATCAGACGAGTCCCCAAAGCTCCATTTTCCAGCAGCCAGTGACCTTTAGGAAAGAGCTCCCTTCCCTGAGCAGCAGTTGGGCCTTGGGTACCCCGGGTAACGGGTCTCTTCCAGGGGTGGCGTACCTGCTCAAGGCCAGGGATTTCTCTCACGGTGATGAAAATGTTCTAAAATGAACTGTGGTGATGGCTGCGCGCCTCTGAAAAAACTAAAACACACTCAGCTGCAGTCTTCAAATGGGTGAATTGGGCGGTACATGAATTCTCTCAGTGAGACTGTTACCAATCTCCAAACAGCAGAACTAACAAAATCCCCACTACCCTTTAAATCACTATTGCTAGAACCCCCGTGGCCCTTGCTGAACCAGCAGCTTGACCGTCCTGCCACATCCACAGCATCTTGACTAGCTACCTCAGCAGGATCAAGACTGTCTCCTACCTTCTGTGCCTGATGACTGGCCCTACCTCCGGTCTCACTCCCTGCCTCTAGCGCCACATGCCCTGAGGGTAGGGAGCCCTTCCCGGGGCTCCCGGGCTGCCTCTTTAGAGCATTTCTCAGCCCAGCGCAGGTTACACCTCATCCCGCCCCAGTCTGTCCTTCCACAAGACCCGCGGGAGCAACAGCTTTTGTTCACTTGACATCCTGCTCCATCCCCAGCATCTAAAACAGTCCCTGGCACATTAGTAAATGCTCAGGAAATGTTAACTGGGTGAGCTTCGCACGCCCACTGTGGCACCGCATTCCTTGTTACACCACTGCTCTATGGAGGGTCAGAATCAGCTTCTCTACTAAGAAATTGTGGCATTTTTATGGGAATGCTCAGGAATTTACATCTGGGGGGAGATTTATCTTCACCAGATTGTTCTTTCTATGCAAAGACACACCTAACTTCCCACTTACTCCATTTTCAGTATTGAAGTCTACATTCGTGAGCTGACTGCAGTTTTCCTGTTTCAGAGGTGATCTTATCAGCTTCATGAAACAAGATGGTGCAGTTTGACTCTATTTTATGCTCGAGAACAATGTTCCACAGGGATTGTCTGTGGTGCTTTTTCACAAGCAGAAGTGTCCATTAACTACCCTTTGCCTTTTTTTTCATGTTTATAAATCTGCCAGTTATCTAGCCTAATTTTTGTCTGTTGTTCATCTTCTCCCTTGGCCAACCCTCCAGTCTACCAAATGCTTTTGTTCGAACCGACCTCTTTTCACCTGTAAGCACCAGGCAAGAAGTTCCTCATCAGTAACGCTACATGTCCTCAGAGTCTAAGAGTGTCGAGTCACCGGATACCTTGCTACATCACAGAATCTTTGTGGGAAGGCCCACACTTTCCGTTCGAAGTCTGTTCTTCTTTCCCACCTCACAGGAGAGTCAGAAAGCCTCTGTCGGCTACACCACCGGAGGTTTCTTCGTCTTGACTCACTGCTTCATTTTATCTGCAGCCATAGCTTTACCTTATTGGCACCAATCATATGCCGAGGATTGTGTGCTAAGCCCTTTAACAGCATTACCTAATACGTTCTTCAAGCGTTTGAAATGGGAAAGTAACATGAATATTTATTTTTATTTTTAAAAAATTGAAATGGCTAGTGTTAAAAATACACCTGAAAAGAGTAGGAGGGAAAATGATTACAACATCCCAATGAAATGGTGATGACCTGGACTATGATGATGGGAAATGGACTGGATGGCTTCTAGAAGCTACTTAAGAGTCCTGAATCTACAGGACCTGGTGGCGTGGAGGTGAGGAGGAAGCAATAATCACAGACGACTCTGCAGTATGAACTCGCTGGTGATGAGCAAGGTGTACACTCTGCCTGAAGGCTTTTCCACACTGTCTACACTCGTAGGGCCTTTCTCCAGTATGAATTCTCTTGTGTAGCGTCAGATGGGCGATTTGGCTGAAGGCTTTGCTACACTCCTTGCACTCGTAAGGTTTCTCCCCGGTATGAATTCTTTGATGTAGCGTGAGGGATTTACGATGGCTAAAGGCTTTCCCACAAACATTACATTCGTAAGGTTTCTCGCCTGTGTGACACCTTTGGTGACAAATCAGGGAGGCCCTCTGTCTAAATGCCTTCCCACACTCCAGACATTCATAAGGCCTTTTCCCAGTGTGCAGTCTCTGGTGGTGAACAAGGTAGGAGCCGTCGCTGAAGGCCTTCCCACAGTCGATACACTCGTAAGGCTTCTCACCTGTATGGACTCTCTGGTGTTGAACAAGGTGTGCAATTTGACTGAAGGCTTTCCCGCACTCGTTACATTCGTAAGGTTTCTCTCCAGTATGTATTTTCTGATGCTGCGCCAGGTGTGCGTTCTGGCTGAAGGCTTTGCTGCACTCCTTACACTCGTAGGGCTTCTCCCCGGTATGAACTCTTTGATGGTGAGCAAGGTGTGTGCTCTGCCGAAAAGCTTTCCCACACTCCCTACATTCGTAGGGTTTCTCTCCCGTGTGAACTCTCTGATGAAGAGTAAGTGAGCCACGGTGGCTAAAGGCCTTCCTGCAGATCGTACATTCGTAAGGCTTCTCTCCTGTGTGAGTTCTCTGGTGGACGGTCAGGGATGAGCCGTGACTAAAAGCCTTCCCGCACACGTCACACTGGTACGGTCTCTCTCCAGTGTGAATTCGCTTATGTTGAATAAGTCCTATGTGGTCAGTGAAGGCCTTCCCGCAGTCGATGCAGTCAAAGGGCTTCTCTCCGGTGTGATAGTACCTCCGATGACGTATGAGAGAAGCATTCTGCCTGAAGGCCTTCCCGCAGTCGATACATTCATAGGGTCTTTTCCCGGTGTGAATCCTTCGATGGTGAGCTAGGGATGAACAGTCGCTGAAGGCCTTCCCACATTCAGTACATTCGTAGGGCTTCTCTCCAGTGTGAACGCGCTGGTGCTGGGCGAGGTGTGCAAGCTGGCTGAAGGCTTTGCGACACTGCTTACACTGGTAAGGCTTCTCCCCAGTATGAACTCGCTGGTGTTGAATAAGATGAGCATTCTGGCTGAAGGCCTTCCCGCACTCAGTACATTCGAAGGGCTTTTCTCCTGTGTGCGTTCTCTGGTGTTGGGCGAGGTGGGCACTCTGGCTAAAGGCTTTCCCGCACTCGGTGCACTCGTAGGGTTTCTCTCCAGTGTGAATTCTCTGGTGAAGAGTAAGCGTCGAGATCTTGCTGAACGTTTTCTCACAGTCGTTACATTTCAAAAGTCTCTTCTCTCCACACATGTACTTGTGTTTCTCTACAAAGGAATGTGCTCTCAAGCTTTCCTTGTCTGTGTCCACGTCATATACTCGCACTGCCATGGGAAATGCCTGTTTTGTAGAAGACAACGTATTCAGATGGAAAGCTCTCCCAGATTCGTTAGAGTTGTCTAATTTGTCAATCAGGGTATCTAGATGAGTGATTGTTTCTTGCCTAAAGTGTGCCCTCTGGCTTACCAACTCCCTCTCAAACAGGGCTTCACAATTCCAATTTTCCGCTAATGCAGAACATTCCAGGTCACAGCTTCCAAGTCTTCTCCTTATCACAGCCTGGGATAATTTTTCTTCAGAATCGTCCTGCTTTGGAGTGAATTCTTTGGGTATCTGTACATGCTCCAAGTCTGAAAGATAATAGCAAGACGAGTACTTCCATTATCAGTGTTAGAAAAAATGGAAATTTACAAAATGAAACCATGTGACTCAAACAGATCCAAAGCAGAAAAAGAAAGATATTTTTGACAGTTCTTAAACCTAGGCAGTCAACCGTGCATTTCTGAAACAAACCCTCCTTGGCTGTAATAATACTACCACGTGGCTTTCTATGAAGGTTTTTGTTTTGCGATGTGTCTGTAACTTCCTTTTCGGGTGCTATTTTGGTAGCAAATGTTAGGCTCCTTCATAAACACATTCTTTAAAAGTTCTTTTTGTTCAATATTGGAACAATATTGGAGATATTTTTCCTTAAAGGTTCTATCAAATTTATTTGTGGAACTATTTGGGGATGGTGCTTCTTTTCTTGGGGGAGGCAGTTTTTAGGTAATTTTCTGTATTTCTTCTATGGTAACTGGTCTGCTTAAATTTTCTCTCTCTTCTGCTGTCAAGTGTAATTTATATTCTCCTCAGACAGCCATTTCATGCAGGTTTTCAAATTATTTACATAAAGTTGAGGAAAAGTCATGATTCTTTTATATACAGTGTGGTAAGTCACCTTTATTTGCTTTTTAGTGTTTTCTCTGCCGTGTCCTGGCAGCTCATATATTTTGCTTGCTTTCTAAAGAAGTACTTACTTTTATTAGAACTATTTCCTAAAATTCATTTACTCCTACTTTTATCTCTAAAAGTATAAATCACTATACATAACTCATATAGTTTTTCCTTAGATTAATTTTGTTCTAATTCTAATACTTTGAAGTGGATGCTTAATTTTTTTTATTTCATATTTACTACTGTGTATCATTAGGACTGTAAATGACCTCTAACAAGTCTCTCATTGAAACTGAGAAACGAAAGCAGGAAAAGGCCACACAACATGTCTCCAAATAACCTGTAAGCATCTCACTAGAGGTTCATTTCCCTGCAACATGTATCTAGACTTTTTTTTTTAAAGAATTGTCACTCACTTTTTTTTTATAAGATTTATTTTATTTATTTGTGCATACAAAAGCTGGGGTGCAGGCCAGAGGTGCAGGGGGTGTGTGTGTGAGAGAGAGAGGATTCACCAGAGACAGAGTGGGGAACAGAACAGGCAGACTAAAAAAATACACTGCTGAGGAGAGTAGCGGGGAGACAGGAGAGGTCTACTGCACCATGTGGGTCAGCTCCATGGCCAGCCAGGGGATCGGACTCGTGCTGCAGTGGATAGCTTCACGGAGCTGAGACTTAACTCCTGCGCCCCCAGGGAGGCCCTGCATCTATAGGCACTTACCTAGTTTTCTAAACTAGATAAAGAGCTCTCTAGAAAGGAAGGAAAAAACTACAAATAAATAAATTTGAAGAACATAAACTTCCCAAATCCCAATGGGTACAATAGAGACGAGACGATGGAAGACAGAGGTGGTAAGTGCGGGAACCTGGATTAACGTGAGCCTCAACTATTCTGTCTTTGCCTTGATTATTCTTTGCTTTGACTATTCTGTGCCCCTCAGTGCAGAATCAGGGAAAATTGACAAGGAGCCTCTGAGGATAAAAGTCCTGGGGTGAGGATCTCTACATGGTGAAAACAGCGTGTGCAGAAAGGAGCAAAAACACTGAGACTTTCCTTGACTTTCTGGCATTTCCCAACCGTGGCTGGGGCCGCTGGTGACGTGTCCTCCACACACAGGCATTCCCCATTTCCAGCTTGCTTCTTTCATCTTTTTATTTTCTGATTCTAAATAAAAATGAGATGGCCCCTGGGCTGGGCTGCACCTTCGTGCTATAGTCCTGCTAGGCTTCTCATTGTTCTGCACATGGACTCCGACTAACCCTCTTTCATCCCACCGCCACACATCATACGGACACAGGAAACATTAGTACACTAATTGTTTTCACCTTTCCTATGGGAATCTAAAAAGCATATCTTGGGCCTCCCAGGTGGCGCAGCAGTTGAGCGCTGGGTTGCGAAGCTGCCCGCGGCCTCTGCAGCATCGGTTCAATCCCCGGCTGCTCCCCGGCCACCGGAGGAGGGTCCCACATGGCGTGCAGACCTCTCCTGCCGCCCGCTGCTCCCCTTAGCAGTGGACTTCGGTCCTTCTGCCTGCTCTGCTCCCCGCTCTGGCTCTGGTGAATTCTCTCACCCTCCCGCGCTTCTGACTGTACCCAGTGCTTGTATAAATAAATAAATAAATCTTAAAAAAAATAAATAAATAGGGCCTCCCCAGTGGCGCAGCGGTTGAGCGCTGGGTTGCGAAGCTGCCCTCAGCCTCTGCAGCAATGGTTCGATTCCCGGCTGCTCCCCGGCCACCGGAGGAGGGTCCCACATGGCGCGCGGACCTCTCCTGCCGCCCGCTGCTCCCCTCAGCAGTGTACTTCGGTCCTTCTGCCTGCTCTGCTCCCCACTCTGGCTCTGGTGAATTCTCTCGCCCTCCCGCGCTTCTGACTGTACCCAGTGCTTATATGTATGTATCAATCAATCAATAAATAAACGTTTAAAAAATAAATAAATAAATAAATAAATAAATAAATAAATAAAAAGCATATCTTAAATTCCAAGAGGAGGAATTCTGGTTTTGTCTTTTTTCAGTTTTGGGGTTTTATTTGTACTTCATATAAGTAGATGAATTTTGAAATGCAAATTTAAAGCTATATAGCAAGATAAATGTGTCAACTTACAGAACTAAAAACCTTTTCAACTCAAGGTGTGGGAGGACTTGAAGGGGAAAGACAAAAAAGACATAAATTACAAAACAAGAAAAAAGGAAAAATAATTAAAAGCAGAGGGAGGACTGTAGCTGCAACAGTTGTCGATCTGATAAAATTGCTGTGTAAGGAAAAAAAATATTTTAACTAGTTCAAAAAACTAAATACAAATTTGTCTAGAGAAGTGAAAAATACTGAAAGCCAGGGATGCTTAAAACAGTAAGATACTTGAGCAGACCTAGGCAGACATCAGTGGGACAGAGTTCAGAAAAAGACCACGGACTTGGAGGCCACCAACCAAGATAAAAGTGGTACCTCATACCAGCGAGGAAGAGAAGAACTATTCAAGAAATGGTGCCAGAACAAGTTTCAAATAGGGAGGGATTATGAGAGGCGTCTTTCCAAAAAGCATCACAAGGAAGAAATATCTGCAGTCGAGTCCCCCCAGCTCTAGTTAGCCTGCACTGACCTGGGCACATCTTTCCTTTCGTGGTCCAGGGCTCTTGACCTCGCTCCAAGAAGGAGATCACATCTGGTTTAGAAATGCAAAGACCTGAAAGGAAAGAAAAGAAAATGGGCTGTGCTGGGGGCATTCCAGACCATGACCCTGTTAAGCAGCAGTGAGAGAAGAGGGACGCGGCAGGTAAAAGCCTGAAAAGCTGCCTCGGGAGAGAACCTAGGGAAGGCAGACTGAAAAGGAAACTCTTACCCATGGAAACCAGGTTCCTGTAGTTGTCCAGCATCACCGTCTTATACAGCGTTCTCTGCGCGAGAGTCAGCCCTTGCCACTCATCCCGGGAGAAGTCTATGGCCACATCTGCAAACGTCACTGCATCCTGAATGACACAAATACACAGAGCCACACAGAATTTGTACCAGGCGGCCTGGCTCTAGAGTCCATGTTATTGACCGTTCTGTCACTCTCGGCCACGCACGGAATGTTTCTCTGACAGACAATAATGCGTCTACTTAGAATGTTTAAAAGTTCTAAAAATCAAGTTCCAATGACAGCGCAGGCCTGATGGCGTTCTATCCGACAGCAAAGGTGTTTTGCTTTGACAACTGCTCATTGTGTCTTTGCTATAAAATAAAAAATTTAGCTATTCTAAGTTGTTTTTTACTTGTTCAGTTATTTATGTGTATGAATCAAATTTGGTAATTTCTTACAATAACTAGTTTGCTGGTCACTAGTTTTCTCTAATCAGAACATGAATTATAGCTCTTAAGCTTCCACTGTTAGTCATATAAATAGTAAAAGTATGAATGTCCTAGAGCAGAGTTAGGATTGAGTAACAATCCACAGGGAATGAAAAAACTAGGAACGTAGTCAAAGAAAATAATGAGACAGGAAGGCAAAAACTCAACCACAATGATGATCATTGCAGCCTTATTAACTAAAAACATTGGGGGCCTCCCTGGTGGCCCAAGGGGTTAGGACGCAACCTATGAAGCTGTCCGCAGCCTCTGCAGCGCAAGTTTGATCCCCAGCCATGGAGCTGCCCACATGGCGCAGCAGACCTCTCCTGTCTCCCTCAGCAGTGGATTTCAGTAGATCCGCCTGTTCTGTTCCCCACTCTGTCTCTGGTCAATCCTCTCACTCCCCCTACACACCTCTGGACTGTACTTGTATGCAGAAATAAATTGTATACATAAATACTTGTACTTGTATGCATAAATAAATAAACCTTTGAAGAAAAAAAAAAGACATTGGCAACAACTTCTCTTTGGAAAACAAGGGGTTGAGTACAGCAATTATGTTATCACCCTAAACAGACAAAAGAATGTAGAACGTTCCCTGGCATCTTAAGATGCTCACGGCTCTGCAG